TTTCAGGTATTTCTCCAGACTTGTGCATGCATAGGATACATTTGGAGGATGAATCGAAATCATCAGTGGAGCAGCAGAGGAGGCTGAATCCGAATCTGCAGGATGTTGTCAAGAAGGAGATTATGAAGCTGTTGCAAGCTGGGATCATCTATCCCATATCAGACACCGTCTGGGTCAGTCCAGTTCATGTGGTTCCTAAGAAAGGAGGAGTCACAGTGGTGAAGAATGACAAAAATGAGCTGATTCCTACCAGAACAGTGACTGGACACAGGATGTGTATAAACTACAGGAAGCTGAATGCAGCCACAAGGAAAGATCACTTCCCTCTGCCTTTCATAGATCAGATGTGGAGAGGCTGGTGAATCACAAGTATTACTGCTTCCTAGATGGCTATTCAGGTTTCTTTCAGATTCCCATCCATCCAGATGATCAGGAGAAGACCACCTTTACCTGTCCTTATGGCACATTTACATATCGCATAATGCCTTTTGGACTGTGTAATGCTCCTGCCACCTTCCAGAGATGCATGGTGTTGATTTTCACTGACATAATTGAGGGGGTTATGGAGGTTTTCGTGGATGACTTCTCAGTCTCTGGGTCCTCCTTCAAGAGCTGTCTGGACAACTTGTGTGCAGTTTTGCAGAGATGTGAAGAAAAGCATATGGTTCTGAATTGGGAGAAGTGCCATTTTATGGTACAAGGTGGCATTGTTCTTGGTCACAGAGTCTCTGCAGATGGCATATAAGTGGATAGGGAAAAAATTGAAGTGATGACAAGTCTGCAGGCACCTGATTCTGTCAAAGCAGTAAAAAGTTTTCTAGGCCTTGTTGGGTTCTACAGAAGATTCATCAAGGACTTCAGCAAGATTGCAAGACCTCTTACTGCTCTTCTCCGCAAGGATGTGAAGTTTGAATTCTCTGAAGAATGTCAATCAGCTTTTGAACAGATCAAACATGTCTTGGTGACAGCTCCTATTGTGCAACCTCCAGACTTGGATCTGCCTTTTGAGGTGATGTGTGATGCCAGTGATTTCGCAGTTGGAGCAGTGCTAGGACAGAGGAAAAACAAGAAGCTACACGCCATCTACTATGCCAGTAGAACATTGGATGAAGCTCAGAAGAACTATGCTACTACTGAGAAGGAACTGTTGGCAGTGGTCTTTGCCTTTGAGAAGTTTCACCAGTACCTTGTTGGCTCCAAGGTCGTGGTCCATACAGACCATTCATCACTGAAGTACTTGATGCAGAAGAAGGATGCATAGCCAAGATTGCTGAGATGGATTTTGCTTCTTCAAGAGTTTGATATTGAAGTTAAGGACAAGAAAGGACTTGAGAATGGAGTAGCTAATCATCTCTCTAGGATTAGGATTAAAGATGTCCCAATCAATGATTTCTTGCCTGAGGAGAATGTGTACTTGATAGAAACTCGGTTTCAGGAAGAAAGTATTGAAAACCTGTAACTTTCTCGCAAATACAAGGCAGTGACAAGCGACACCAGGAGGGTGACACTTGTCACTAACTCAGCAGACTCGCGATCGAGTCGAGATACGACTCCAGTGACGATCGCCACCCACTCTGGTGACGCTCGTCACCCGACACGGACGTTGGCAATGATCTGTACCAGCTTGGGAGCTGCTTTTGAAGAGCAAGTTTATGCCTAATTTTTAAAATAATTGTTATCGAATCTTTTTACCAAAAGAAGGGTAAATTGTTACCAAAATAATTCGGTTAAATTACCAAAGATGACAATTACCAAAGAAGGTAACAATTGGTAACAATTGTTACCAAAATAATTCTCTTTTTTATTTGATTGGTTCTTCTGGTAGAAAAAAAGGATCCGTTTTCTTTGACTGAGGAGGCCACGAAACTTAAAAAATGATTAGATTAATTGTAAAAACAAATAAAGATATATATAGAATAAAAAAAATAAACATAAGGAAAAGTTTTTATTCTTATTCGAAGCGCCTCGTGATCGTCAACCAATTCTGTGCTTCAATATAATTACCAGGAGTAAGCGTTATAGCCTGTTTCCAATACTCAGCGGCTTGAGCGAACCAAGCCTCCGCCATTTCAGAATTTCCTTGTTGAATGGCCTTTTATCCACGGTCGGAATAGGCAGTTCAATTCCCTCCCTGAGAACCGTACTTGAGAGTTTCCTACCTCATACGGCTCGACAACCAACTCTTTTGTTTTGGTGGTGTACCGGTTTTTTAACTTTAACCCACTTTAACTTTATATCTAATTGAATGTCTAATTGAATGAGATTTCTTATAGATCTTCGGTTTTTCTTGGATTAAACAAAAGAGAGTAATTACATGAGTTTCAAACTTTCATTTTGATTTCATTAATATATTTTTAATTAATATATTAATTAATATAATAAGTTTTATCTTTTTTCCTACCTTCAGAAAAAAAGGCATGTCCACTGTTATTAGATATTAGAATTTTCTGAAAGGTAACTATCCCGCTTTCATATAAAAATTTATATAGAATCTTTGAAAAAGACTTTTTTTCATACTTCATAAAAAATAAAAAGACTTACTGTCTTTAGGATCTGATTCTACACCGCTGCTCAATACCTTCGGGGATCCACTCTATTACATAAGTAGATTCCTAAGATTTATCTCATATTATGATATAAATAAACAGCTCTTATTGTATCGGTCCAAAACCTTTCCAATTGATCTTTACGGTGCTTACTCTATCAATTAAATCTTTTTTTATCCATAGGGGAGAAAGTATTTAGGCATATCTAGTCTTCACTTCATATTTCGATCTATAAAGTTTATTTATTTGCTACAGCTGCTAAAAAATCATTTTGGACGATGCTTATGTAGAAAGCCTTTTTTTTGTTTCTAGTATTTCATTGACTAGCTGTTCGTTCTTTTTTTCTATAGTGGAGATAGTCGCACGTAATGACAGATCACAGCCATATTATTAAAATCTTGTGGTAAAAAGGGGTTTCGTTCTAATGCCCGAAAATAATATTCTAAAGCTTTGGTATGTTCCCCATTACTTGTGTGGATAAGGCCTATATTATAGAGTATATAACTTCGATCATAGGGGTCAATTTCTAGTCGCATAGCTTCATAATAATTCTGTAATGCTTCCGCATAATTTCCTTCAGATTGAGCCGACATCCGTTACGGTCGTCATTCGCTTTAACGAATTCTCCGTTTCAGAACCGTATGTGAGATTTTCATCTCATACGGCTCCTCCTTTAGGTGCATAATGAAAATAATCAATATATGGAAAATTTGATGTCATTATGAACTAAGCGGGGCTAATGTTTTTACAAGAAATCCCTAGCCAACCTTCTTGCAAAAGATATTTTTTTACTACCAAGTGGGTTCATGCTAGATAAAAATAAAAAAGGAAACTCTAAAAATTTCTTTGTTCTCAACGCCCCTAAATTTCCAGGAATTAGTCACTTCAACAGTCTTCAATGGTTATACGGGTATCCAAAGTACGGACGAGATGGATGTTTATTGTTCCAACCATTTTAATTAGTCCCAATCCCAAAGAAGAAAAAGAAAGAAAAGGAATCGTTTTGAAGAAAGTTTTCGTGTTGTTGATTTCTCGGCGTAGTGCTTCTTCCCATGTGCCTCCTATTCGTATATTGTATTAGTGTAGTCGGATTGATCTGTAATACATGAACCATAGGTAAAAACCTTTTGCTCAATACTAGAATTCAAAATTCAAGCATCTAAGGCTGCATTAATCGTGGATACATGACAGAAGGGATTGCTTTTTTATATTATAAACTTCACCTTCAAAAGCGTAGATTTTTTTCAATACTCGTTTTTCTTTCTATTCCAAATCGGCGAGAAATAAAAATAAAATAATGATAATCAAATCGCACCATCTCTGTAATAAGTAAATGCCTCTTTTTCTCCCGAAGTTGTCGGAATGACTCGTAATAAGATATCGGCTACAATTGTAAAGGTTTTATCAATAAAATTTCCATTTATACGCGATCTTGGCATAGGTAGTAATCCATTCTATAACTCTTTTTATTTCCTTCACCTTTTCTTTTGTGAGAAAATTTTCTCACAAACAAAGGAATTTTATAGTACGAACTAACATAAAAGCGGAATCGTTAAAATAAAAAAACATTCTATCTACTTCCAATTTTTTCCGGTCAAAAAAGGTAGCTATTAACCATAATCTAAAAAACGATGAATAACTCGCTATTCACCCAGGTACTCAGTCATAATCCTGATGTCGGAGAGATGGCCGAGTGGTTGAAGGCGTAACATTGGAACTGTTATGTAGACTTTTGTTTACCGAGGGTTCGAATCCCTCTCTTTCCGTACTTTCAACTAATTCACAAATCTTACGTGATTGACCACAATGTATCAAATCAAATAAAAAATAATAGATATAAAATCTACATTTCTTTGATATGGAAAATGCTGGGAAGAACAAACAAGGGATCCAAACCTCCCTACCAATCTATGATACATGAATAGTAAAAAGATTCCCCGACCAAATCCCTTAACTTGTGCCTTTTTATTTTTAATAAAAAAAAGAGGTTAAAGGGGATTTGTCCGAACTCTTGTTTTTAGTTATTTTTTTTACTTAAGTTAGTTTTATTAAGTCTGTCGAGAGTAATATTCTACGACAAGCAATTCATTTATTTTCAAACCGACGCATTTCCTATCTATTATTTGATTTACTAACCCTTCATATTGGAATGTGTGAAGAGTAAGATGGTTTGGCAATTCCTCGGGGGCAGATGAATCAAGAAGATTTTTAACCAAAGTTCTAGAGTTTTGTTCATCCTTCACTGTAATAATATCTCGGGGTTTGCAGCGATAACTTGGTATATCAACTATACGACCATTCACTAAAATATGTCCGTGGTTAACTAATTGGCGCGCTTGAGGAATAGTCAAAGCCATACCCAATCTAAAAAGGATGTTATCCAAACGCATTTCAAGTAATTGTAATAAAACTTGACCCGTTGACCCCTTGGCTTTTCCGGCGATACGAACATATTTAAGTAATTGGCGTTCTGTAAGACCATAATGAAAACGCAATTTTTGTTTTTCTTCTAAACGAATACGATATTGAGATTTTTTTCCGGAGCGTGATTGGTTTCTAAGATCGCTTACTGCCTTAGGCCTTTTACTAGTGAGTCCCGGTAAAGCCCCCAGACAGCGTATTTTTTTAAAACGAGGCCCTCGGTAACGTGACATAAAGACTCCTTTTTTTTATTGAAATTGTACAAAACTAAACAAAATTAAAACTGAACTAAATGATAATGATAAATGACGTTAAATCCACTCCAATAAACTATTCCAATAAAGTATTAGAATACAAAGAGTAAGAAGATATATTCTATCAATATACAGATTTTATTTATTGTATATACAATATATATACATCAAATAAATCACCAAAGTTTTCCTTTATTTTCTTGATTTATTTTGCAAAGATCTAACCCTTTTACCCAATATATATTCCTATATGGAATTATGGAAGTTTATATGCCATAATATAAATGGCGTGGTAACTCTTGGAAAAAGGTAAAAGAAGTCTTTTCAATCTTCTTTGATTTTGAAAGTATATTAAAAATCATGTAAAAAAAACGAAAAAATATGGAAAAGCCGGCTATCGGAATCGAACCGATGACCATCGCATTACAAATGCGATGCTCTAACCTCTGAGCTAAGCGGGCTCAAATAAAATAGCGCATGCATACAAATTCACTAAACTACTAGATCGTATCAATTAACTATTCTATTCATATTTTTATTTATCTATTTAGAATTAATCATATTCTATTTCTATATATTCTAGAACAGAATATAGCTCAAATAAATAGTGACTATCATTAAATAAATAAAACATAACCTTAATTAATTAATAGAATATAGCAATATATCGACTTTATAATTTTACTTTCATTAGTTTATAAATAAGAAAATATTAATTAGATCAGATTTTTTTTTTGAAGTTAAATGATATCTGATTTGAAATTCTTGTTTTTTTTGTTCTAACCTCATGCTATTATTATTATTTTATACTTTTTGTCTTTTTATTTTTTTTCTAATTCTAATTAATATTAGAAATGCATATTCGAATAGAATTTTTTAGAATTATTCGAAGTCCAAATCTACGAAGTGGACTTACAATCTTTTTACATTGTCCATTGTAGAATTCTAAGTTTCAATAATAATCATAAATTTCTTTTCATGGAAGTAAAAAACAATCGACTGTTCGCTGATTTATTCAAATTTAAGACAATTCCCGGTCCAAAACTTTTTCATTTACTACTTTTGCGTTTCTTTTAATTAACATAGACCTTGACATAGACCTAAGTCATATAGTAATATGAGAATGATACTTGAGTAATGGCCGGGATAGCTCAGCTGGGAGAGCAGAGGACTGAAAATCCTCCACCGGTTCAAAACCTTTTCATTTCCTACTTTTTTTTTTCTTTTAATTGACATAGACCTAAGTCCTATAGTAATATTAGGATGATATTTGACTAATGACCGGGATAGCTCAGCTGGGAGAGCAGAGGACTGAAAATCCTCCACCGGTTCAAATAGTAATATGAGGGTGATACTTGACTAATGACCGGGATAGCTCAGTTGGTAGAGCAGAGGACTTTAAATCCTCCACCGGTCCAAAACCTTTTCATTTCGTACTTACTTTATGTGTTTCTTTTAATTGACTTAGGTCTATGACTTAGACCTAAGTCCTATACTACTATGAGGATGATACTTGAGTAATGGCCAGGATAGCTCAGTTGGTAGAGCGGAGGACTGTAAATCCTCGTGTCACCGGTTCAAATCTGGTTCTTGGCATAGGATTTATTAATTTTTAGAATTTTATATTTTTTAAATTAAACGTATCTTTGCAAAAAAGGGGATATGGCGGAATTGGTAGATGCTACGGACTTAATTGGATTGAGCCTTGGTATGGAAACCTACTAAGTGATAACTTTCAAATTCAGAGAAACCCTGGAATTAACAATGGGCAATCCTGAGCCAAATCCTGGTTTACGCGAACAAACCTGAGTTTAGAAAGCGATAAAAAGGGATAGGTGCAGAGACTCAACGGAAGCTGTTCTAACAAATGGAGTTCACTACGTTCACTACCTTGTGTTAATAAAATGATTCACTTCATAGTTTGGTAGATCCTTGGTGGAACTTATTAATCGGACGAGAATAAAGATAGAGTCCCATTCTACATGTCAATACTGACAACAATGAAATTTATAGTAAGATGAAAATCCGTTGACTTTTAAAATCGTGAGGGTTCAAGTCCCTCTATCCCCAACTCTACTCCACCCAAAAAGTATGTTTGACACCTTACTTACCTTTTTTTAGTTATTCAAAAATTCATTAGCTTTTTTCATTCATCCTACACTTTTACAAACTACACTTTTATAAAAACTATAAGTTCTTTTCTTATTATATACAAGTCTTGTGGGATATATCATACACGTACAAATGAGAAATAAATATCGATTTGAATTATTTAGAATCTATATCATTATTCATTTCTAAAACTTAGAAAGTTTTCTTTTCGAAGATCCAAGAAATTCCCGGTCCAAAACTTTTTCATTTACTACTTTTGTGTTTCTTTTAATTGACATAGACCTAAGTCATATATTAAAATGAGGATGATACTTGAGTAATGGCCGGGATAGCTCAGTTGGTAGAGCAGAGGACTGAAAATCCTCGTGTCACCAGTTCAAATCTGGTTCTTGGCATAGGATTTATTAATTTTGATAAGTTTATATTCTTTAAATTAAACGTATCTTTAGTAAAAAAAGTGCAATCATCCTTTATCCCCCTCTCTTTTTTTGTTCATCTTATGGATCCACCCGTTCAAAAAGAATGTGTAATACTTTATCTTTATATATAATACATATTCTAAAGGAAAGTTCTGTTTGAAAGAATCAAACAAAACAAGTAAAAAAAAAAGGGTCTATATCTATAATTTAAAGTTGAAGGACATAAATATCCCAAGATTCATTAGATATATATAGAAATATAATTGTACCCCCCCTTTTTTATTGCTTTCCGATCTTATTTATTAATTCCCAGTTATGTGACTAAAGTTGACTAAGTTATGTGCGCGATACAAAGTTCATAATGCAGAACTCTTTTTTTTAGTTCCTCCTATTGGCTCGGCTTTTGCGGAAAAAAGTATCTTTCAAATTGGAGATCAAGCTATCTATAATAATATGAATAAGACCTCAATTATTCTGTTTGTTTGATCTTTTTTAGATTCATGAACCTAATCCTGAATATGAACCATAAAAGAAAATACCTATTAAACCGATCACAAGAATACCAGCTACAGTACCTATTACCCAAAGAGGAATCCTTCCAGTAGTATCAGCCATTTATCTCGCTTCCCTCCACATTTCATCGAGTGGTCATGCTAGAAACATAAACAGTCAGAGATAATTATGATATATAATCCATCCGAATGGGATAAGAAAATTACTACTCTTTCTTTTTTATTTTATTATTCTACGCTCTTTTCTTAATTGAAGAAATAATTCGAAAATAAAACAGCAAGTACAAAAATTAGTAATAACCCCCAATAGAGACTGGTACGATTTAATTCAACATTTTGTTCGTTCGGATTTGATTGTGTCATAGCTCTATAATTGAATTAGGTTTATCGTTGGATGAACTGCATTGCTGATATTGACCCCAAAAAAGAAACGGTAGGTACAGCTAGTCCATGAACAGCCAACCAGCGCACTGTAAAAATTGGATAGGTCCTATCTATAGTCATTGGGTCCTCCTAAAAAGATCTACTAAATTCGTCGAGTTGTTCCAAAGGATCAAAACGGCCTGTTATTAATGGAATGCCTTGTCGGCTCTCTGTAAAATACTCGTTTGGACGAGGGCTCCCAAACACATCGTAAGCTAAACCGGTGCTGACAAATAACCAGCCCGCAATAAATAGGGAAGGTATAGTAATGCTATGAATGACCCAGTATCGAATTCTGGTAATAATATCAGCAAAAGAACGTTCTCCTGTGCTTCCAGACATACTGAACTCCAGATATTCTCGTAGGGAATCGATTCTGTAAAAGATGAATAAGTAAATTCAAATTTACTGAGATTACATCTTTGTGAGATCGTCAATAAAGTACCAAGGGTATTTTTAGAGTCTACCGAATCAGTATAGCTACCCTTCTTCTGACACAGCAACGCAATTTGAATTAGTATAGAAATGAGCTGTTAGATAATTTATTTTTTTTTTTATCTTGCTTGTCGATGTATAACCATGTCCCACTTCTTAAAATTCCTGTACCTGTAATCTATAGAGGCTTCGATCCTTTATTCGTTTTGGACTATAAAACAAACTCAAGATTAGATAAAATTAAAATCCAAGAGATTAGTTTCTAATTATAATAATTCATTAAGAAAATTCTCATATTGTCCCAAGTCAATTGAATCCAAAAACCATAAATTGTATTTTCGCTGTATATGCATACTTGTAGAAGCTATTTTTTTTTAATGATAATGTGATCCTCCCCTTTTGCTTTTTGTTTCATTTTAAGGAATGAATTTCCAGTAACAAGAAAAAGAAGAATCGTTTTGGATCAATTAAAAAGAACAACAAATAATAAAAATAATAATAATACTAAATATTTCTAATGCGTGCGTTGTTTTATTGTATTCAATTCAAAGGTTTTTTATTTCTTTAACTAACTATAAAGATGATGGGTTTTTCACTCTATTTTCTATATAATCTCGAAAGAAAAAAACCTAAAACCTAGAAAGTAAACGATAATAGAAATTGCTAATTACAAGTTTTAAAAATCTAGTTAAAATAAATATTTTTTTTATTGAAACTTAGGGAAGTACTTTAGAAACATATGTATAAATAAACATATTTTATTGAGTCCCTTCATGCCTACTATAACTAGTTATTTCGGTTTTCTACTAGCGGCTTTAACTATAACCTCAGTTCTATTTATTGGTCTAAGCAAAATACGACTTATTTGAAATTAATTGAATGAAGATTTTTTTATAAAAAAGGATTTATATGGTATTTCATATGTTCGATAGTTAATTACCCAATGTTAATTACCCAATTTTGGTCGTTGAGATTCATCGGCAATACAGATTAAGAGCTAGGAATAGATAGTACCTCTCTTTTCTCCCTTTCAAAAATTAAAACAAAAGAAAATTGAAATGATTGAAGTTTCTTTATTTGGAATCATCTTAGGTCTAATTCCTATTACTTTGGCTGGATTATTCGTAACTGCTTATTTACAATACAGACGTGGTGATCAGTTGGACTTTTGATTAATTAACATCTTTTTTTTTTACTTACCTCCTTCGTGCGTTCATGTGCGGTAGGTCTAATTCAGATTGCTGCTCAATTATTTGCGAACAGTGGAATTTTGACACAATCTAATAAACAAGAGTGACATCACGCTCTGTAGGATTTGAACCTACGACATTGGGTTTTGGAGACCCACGTTCTACCGAACTGAACTAAGAGCGCTTTTCTTGTTTTTTCTAAAAAACTAAAAGGCTACAATGAGGGCATTTTTTAACCCCAATCGATTTTGTACGTATATACTATATCATAGTATATCATAAATTTCATAATTATATGTATGTCCCATTTTATTAAAAAAAGATAGATCTAAAATAGATCCCTCGTTACTGCTCAGAAGAGCAGTAATAGGTAGGGATGACAGGATTTGAACCCGTGACATTTTGTACCCAAAACAAACGCGCTACCAAGCTGCGCTACATCCCTTTCAATTGGTTTACAGTGTCATTGTAGAGAATTCCTGTCTTGTTTTCCACATCCCACTTTTTTTTATCTCATATCAGATAACAAACATATATATAATTAAAAAAATTACTTTTTTTTACAAGAATTCTCTCAATTTCCATTTTACATAAATAGGCATTTCCATTTGAAAATGGAATCTATAAGATCGTTCTAGTAGACAATATTTCAATTATAATTTTGAAGGTTACGTATACAAATACAAGACCTTCTTAACTACATGTACATCTGTAGTTATATATATTACTATATATAATGTAATACAATTAAAGAAGAAAGAAGGAGGATTTCAAATGCGAGATCTAAAAACATATCTTTCCGTAGCACCGGTACTAAGTACTCTATGGTTCGGTTCGTTAGCAGGTTTATTAATAGAGATTAATCGTTTATTTCCAGATGCATTAACATTTCCCTTTTTTTAATTCTAGTTATTAACATCAGAGAGGGTTAAAAAATTTAGAGATATGATCAACGATCGGAGACTAATTCTCCCCCCCCCCCCCCCCCCCCCCCCCCCCCCCCCCCCCCCCTTTTTTTTCTAATTCATTCTAAAAAAATAATTAGAAAAAGGGGGAGGGGCGAAAGGTCATAAAAACTAGGGTTCAGGATCCAATTAAATTCGTAATAGAATGAAAAAGGTGTTGCTAGGGAAACAGTATCCTATGAGATACTTAAAAAAAAATACTGTACAAGGATTTTAAATATAGTTTTCAAAAAATCATTGTATTGCTTAACAATTTATTTTTTATTTAATTACTAATTAATATTCATTGCAACTAAATATTTCAGTAATTTTTTTAGTTAACAGCTTCTTTTTTTTTTCTTCTTGTTCTTTCTGGATCCTAAAATGAAAATAGAAGATTGGGGTGAATCATAAAGCCAAAGGAGGTTTCATGGCCAAGGGTAAAGATGTTAGAGTAACAATTATTTTGGAATGTACCAGTTGTGTTCGAAATGATATTAAGAAAGAATCCGCGGGAATTTCCAGATATATTACTTAAAAGAATCGGCATAACACCCCTAGTCGATTGGAATTGAGAAAATTCTGTCCCTATTGTTATAAACATACAATTCACGGGGAAATCAAGAAATAGATCAAATTGAGTGCTTGTATGTCAACTTTTATTTTAAGAACAGGAATAATGATAAGATCTATATATTATTACATATATATAAATATAAACAAAAAAATCAATATAAAGAGATCTAATCCTATATTCTTAATTCTATATAGAAACACTATCCTATATAGAAATAGAAATCGTTTTTTATTTTGATTCGATAAAAATAGGATTTTAAAGATAAGGAATAAAAAAATTATGAATAAATCTAAGCGACCTTTTACTAAATCCAAGCGATCTTTTCGTAGGCGTTTGCCCCCGATCCAATCGGGGGATCGAATTGATTATAGAAACATGAGTTTAATTAGTCGATTTATTAGTGAACAGGGAAAAATATTATCTAGACGGGTGAATAGAGTGACTTTAAAACAACAACGATTAATTACTATTGCTATAAAACAAGCTCGTATTTTATCTTTGTTATCTTTTCTTAATAATCAGAAACAATTTGAAAGAAGTGAGTCGATCCCTAGAACTACTAGCCTTAGAACCAGAAAAATAGACTTATTCTTCAATTGAATAACAATTACAATCTGAAGGAATTAAAATAGAGGTTAATATTTTGTTTAACAAATCCAATCAAGAATAAAAATTTGATTGTTACGTCTGTGTCTGTCATAAAAAAAAAAAATAAAGGAATCGTCGAAAAGAAAACGAATAACTCTTTTTTTTAGCGACTATATACCCTCGTTTTGTTTTGACGACTTTTTTTATAATACTAATTTCTACTCTACCTTCTCCGAGTTCATTCTTCTTAGAACTCTATTTCAAATATTTTAGTGGATTTCTTGCAATCCCCTTATTTTTTTATCTCATTCGAAATCGTATAAAGACAACTCCTATTTAATAGAGCTATTTGTGCAAGTATTTTCCGATTAAGAAGTAATTGCTTCTTGTACAGATTGTGTATGAATCGGTTATAACTATAGAATACCTCCGTTTCGTGAATTACGGCATTTATTCGAGTGATCCATAAACGACGAAAATCTCTTTTTCACCGAATTATTTTGGTAACAATTTAAAATAATTCTGTTTTCTTTGACTTGGGGAAATGCACCGGGTGCCGTCGCTAACCGAGTAGCTCTGGAAGCAAAAGATGCCTAATTTAACCGAAGTTATTAAATTACCAAAATACTATTTGAATAATTACTATTGTTATTGTTACCAAAATAACAACCTAAGCAAAAGTTCCCACTATTTGCACTTTTGCCCCAATTCGTGTTTAGACTTGTATTTAGGTTTTCTAAGCCATTGTTAGGCGATTATCTTATTTTCATTGAGACTAAGAGAGAGATTAGATTGAGAGCTTTTGGGGAGACAAATTCATACTCTGTAGAGAAGAATTTCGAACCCCTTTCATCTTTTACTCTATTTCTTAATGCAATTTTGTTCAGCCATGATTTATGTTTCACTTGCTATGTCTGAGTAATCTGCTAGTTAAGTTTTGGGTTATTCAAAGGTTGATAATGAATTGTTAGAACTACAAGACTGGAAGGATAAATCAATTGGTTCTTTATCTAGATTGCTTTAACACTGGTTTTAAGATTGATCACCTAGAAATCAGATCTTAAGTTGTTTAATAGATGTGAAAACATTGTTAATCACCAGAACTATCTTAGATGAGCAAAATAACTAACTGCAAAAGAATTTGGATTAGTGATTTTGTGAACATATCGAACCTGATCTTTATGCATGTTTAGGTTGTTAGAATTTGCAAATTTGGAATTCTAGAATCTGATCATAGTTAATCTCTGTGACGGAAGTCGATTGGTTTTACATTAGTGTTTTGAGTTCTAGAACGGTTTTAATAAATATTCCTTTCAGTCCGTAGTCTGTGATTTATGTCAACCTGCGAATTTCCCATTGCCTAGCGTCTTGTCTCTATTGATTTTAAGAACCTACAATCTGCCCCTGATTTCATTGCTTTCATTGCTATTTTAATTTCATTTCATTATTGACTGTTTAGCTTTATTTGAATCTAAAATCTGTTGAGTGATAGCCTTAAGTCCCTGTGGATTCGATCCCTAAGTACTACAGTGATCTCTTAATTTGAGAGAGTAGCTCTAAGAGTTAATTTGAGCATATCAAATTTTGGCGCCAGGAGCAACAAAGACAAAGAACTCGTGACTTTAGGCATCGACGAACTCGCCAAGCTAGAGAGAACCATCAGGAAAGCCAAAAAGCAGACTAAAATGGTTGGACCACTTGTTTTGAAGACAGATGCTGAGGGTCATTTAGTTGACAGAGAAGGGAACAGAAGGAATGAGGATGGGCAGAGGATAGATGACAATGGCATTGTGATTGAGGAGCAGAACGTACAACAGCAAGCTGCTGGAGATGCTGCTGGGCGTCATCTACAGACGACTCTGGGAGATTACAACAGGCCTGATCAGTTCTATGCAAATAGAGCTGCAATCCGCCCACCAGCCTTTCAGAGGAATGACTTTGAGCGGAAACCCAGTTACTATCAGCTTGTAGGGCAGCACCCTTTCCATGGGCTTCCACATGAACACCCAATGGACCATATAGAGAAGTTTGAAGACCTGGCTACAAGTGTTAAAGCTAATGGAGTCACTAATGACTTCCTATTCTGCAAGCTCTTCCCTCATTCTTTGGAAGGAGATGCAGCACATTGACTCAAACAGCTGGAACCTGGTTCTTTGACTACATGGGAGGATACCGAATCTGCTTTTCTCAACAACTTCTATGATGATGCAAGGTCAGAAGAGTTGAGAAGAAATATCGCCACATTCTCCCAAGGTCCAACAGAAGCTTTCAAAGCAGCATGGGTGAGATTCAAGCTGTACCAAAGGGACTGTCCACACCATGAGTTTAATGAAGTGCAGCTGCTGGGAATCTTCTTCAGAGGTGTTGATTGGAAGTACCAGATGGCTCTGGATGCAACAAGCAATGGGAACTTCAACACTAGAGTCCCAGCTGACGCCATCAAGCTGATAGAGAACCTAGCTTCCATCAACGGCACAAAGAATGCTGATTTTGAGAGACAGAAAATTGCTGGGGGTGCAGGAAGCAATCAGTTTGTTGCTGAGATGAAGGCCAAGATGGATTCTGTGCATAATCTCCTGGTGGGGAAGAAGTCTGTTCAGTTTGCTGCTGAAGTTGAGACATTTGAGCCAGCTGAGGAGTTTGAAGAAGAAGATGTCAATTACATCAATGGAGCTGGATTTCAGGGTCAGAGGTACAACAATCAGCAAGGAAATAGGGGATTTAGTGGTAACATGCAGAGGAGCAGCTTCAAAGGGAATCAAAGTTCTTCTGGTTACACCCCAAGCCTCAGTTTCAGAAGTCTGAGTACCAGAAGCCTTACCAGAACAACAACTTCAACAAGAACTATGGTTCTTCATCTTATCAGCCTGCACCAGCTCCATCAGCTTCAAGCAAGATGGAATCCATGCTTGAGCAGTTGCTAGAAGGTCAGCAGAAGATTACAGTTGACTTTAATGGCAAGTTTGACGCCTTGTATCAAGATTTGAATGGGAAAATCGAAGCTCTGAACACTCATGTGAAGACTTTGGATACTCAAATGGCTAAAACTGCTGGGGCTATGAAAAGGCAAGATGGATTCCTTCCAGGGAGGACATACACCAACCCAAGACACTCTGTTAATGCCATCACGCTGAGGAGTGGAAAGAATCTGCAGCCAGTGCAGAAAAAGGGCCTGAGTACAGAAGATTTCGAGCAACTGCAGGAGTTTGAAGATGAGGATTTCGAAAATTTTGAAGGGTGTCGATCGACACCAACCCCTCGTTGTCGATCGACACCAGAGGAAACTCGACGTTCTTCAACTCAAGGCGAGCAGATATCGATCGAGGTCGACAAGCAGCTCGACACCCGATCGACACCACTTCCAGGAGCTAGTGTCGATCGACACCCACCCCCTGGTGTCGATCGACGCCCACCACAGAAGCAAGCTGCAAATTTTCAGACTCCAGAAAGTGCAGAAGAAAGGGTCTATAAGCCAAAAGTACCTTATCCGAGGAACCAGAGGAAGAATAAACAAGAACTGGAGGATGCTAGGATCAAAGCTATCATGGATAAGCTTGTGGTGGAGATTCCTTTGATAGATGCTATAAGGACTACTCCTGTAATAAAGAGGTATGTGAAAATAATGATGACCAAGAATCTGGGGCTGGAGCAAGGGACAATGCTGATTTCAGAGCAAGTGAGTGCAGTGATTCAGAACAAGATACCAGAGAAGCTGACTGATCCTGGGAGCTTTGCCGTAGATTGCACAATCTTTTCTGAAAGGTTTGAGAGGTCATTATGTGATTTGGGTCAAGTGTCAATCTGATGCCTCATTCAGTTGCTGTCAGCTTGGGTATGACTGATTTCCAGCCAACCAGAATATCTCTTATCTTAGCAGATAGGTCTGTAAAGATTCCTGAAGGCATTTTAGAAGATGTACCAGTCAAAGTGGAAGATTGTGTGATTCCCATAGACTTTGTGGTTCTGGCTTATGGTGAAGAACCAAAGGATCCTTTGATTTTGGGAAGGCCATTTCTGGCTACTGCAGGCGCCATTATTGATGTCAGAAAAGGGAGCATTGCTTTGAATGTGGGCGATTTGGTGATGCATTTTGACATAGACAAGTTGCAGAGGCCAACAATAGATGGCCACACATTCTATGTAGACTCCCTCACCAGTCTTGTAGAAGAGATCTTCCAAGAGATGCATCCTGTAGACCCTTTGGAGAGGGCATTGACAGTTTCTGCAGAAGCAACAGAGAATCTAGACAACATTGCTGCTGGATATGTCATGAAGGATACAAGTGAGCAAGTCATGCAGCTGGTTGCACAACAAGAGCTGGTTGGGACATCTGTACAAGCTGCAAAGCTAGGCGATTGGAGTGAAGAAAAAGCTCCAAAAATCGAACTCAAACAACTCCCTGCAGGTCTAAGGTATGCTTTTCTGGGACCTAACTCTACATATCCTGTTATAGTTAGTGCTGCCTTAAACAATGCAGAGCTCACTTTACTGCTAAGCAAGTTGCGCACTTTTCGCAAAGCTCTTGGCTATTCTCTTGATGACATTTCAGGTATCTCTCCAGACTTGTGCATGCACATGATACACCTTGAGGATGAGTCCAAATCATCAATTGAGAACCAGAGGAGGCTGAATACGAACTTGCAGGATGTAGTGAAGAAGGAAATCATGAAGCTTCTAGCTGCTGAAATCATTTATCCGATTTCAGACAGCACTTGGGTCAGTCCAGTGCATGTGGTTCCCAAGAAAAGAGGAGTCACAGTGGTGAAAAACGAGAAGAATGAGCTGATTCCCATAAGGACCATCACTGGGCACATGATGTGTATTGACTACAGGAAGCTCAACACTGCAACAAGGAAGGATCACTTCCCACTGCCATTCATTGATAAGATGCTAGAGAGGTTGGCGAATCACTCCTACTACTGCTTCCTGGATGGCTACTCTGGCTTCTTTCAGATCCCTATTCACCCAGATGACCAGGAGAAGACCACATTTACTTGTTCTTATGGTACATTTGCATATCGCAGAATGCCATTTAGACTTTGTAATGCTCTTGCAACATTTCAGAGGTGCATGCTGTCTATCTTTACAGACATGATTGAGAAGTACATGGAGGTCTTCATGGATGACTTCTCAGTATATGGTTCCTCTTCCAATGACTGCCTTGACAACCTCTGTCAAGTGCTTGCAAGATGTGAAAAGAAGCACTTAGTTCTGAACTGGGAGAAATGCCACTTTATGGTCAAAGATGGGATTGTGCTTGGGCATAGAGTTTCTGGTGAAGGCATTAAAGTGGACAAGGCGAAAATTGAAGTGATGACAAGTCTACAGCCACCAAATTGTGTGAAGTCAGTAAGGAGCTTTCTAGGACATGTTGGATTCTACCGAAGGTTCATTAAGGATTTCAGTAAGATTGCAAGACCACTCACAGTTCTGCTTTGCAAGGATGTGAAGTTTGAATTTACTGAAGAGTGTCATTCAGCCTTCCAACAGATCAAGCAGGCATTAGTGAGTGCCCCCATTGTGCAGCCTCCTGATTGGGATCTACTATTTGAGGTGATGTGTGATGCTTCAGACTT